TGCATGTGGCTGTCACCATGAAATTCATTCTCCTATTTATGTATAAATTAGAGGTGCACTGATACATCAGTCTGATGTTGGATTGGCACCAATATAAAGAAAATTGATCGTATCAGAAATCAGCCTGATTTGGCCGATAAATGCCCACGCGTGAGCACTGCCACAGTGCAGCACGTAGGTGACGAGGAGCACAGCCTGGCAGCTTGGAGATCTGCATGCAGCTGATAAGTCTGGTGTGGTGAAAGGAAATGAGGGAGGGAAGGGGCGTGGAGGGAAGATTGAGGTACCCCACGGTGAGGGAGGAGTGGAGCTGGGGCAAGGGTTAGGGCAAGCACTGCCCAGCCATGGCTGGATGCAGGACTGAGCCACGGCTCATTCGGTGGGTGTGGGGAAGAGGAGGGGGCGGCTTCCGCTGCTGCATGCCACTCATCTGGGAGCCACTTGTCCAGTGCTCATTTGGTGGCTTCCGCAGCTTGTCCAGGAGGGCATGGGGGAGGGAGGCGTATGACCCCAGATCTGCAGGAGGCAAAGCAGGGCTGGATGGGGCAAGGCCACATGAGGTTCTTCCCGGCCTACCCAGCCCTGTGCAGATCCAGGGGCACATGCCCCGCCCCCCCCCACGTGCTCTCCTGAACAAGCGATGGGAGCAGCAGCAGAAGCCACTGGACGAACAGGTGAGTGCTGAACCAGCAGCTCCTGGACAAGCGGCACACAGCAGCAGGAGCCACCCCCACCTCCCTGCCTCCCTGCGCCCCCCGAATGAGCCGTGGCTCCATTCTGTGCCTGTCCCACCCCAGCTGGGCAGCACTTGCCCCAGCCCCACTCCTCCTTCACTGTGGGGGCCTTGATCTTCCCCCCACAAGCCCCTTCCCTGTCCCCTCCCCTTCCACTACACCAGACTTACCAGCTGCATGCAGCTTTCCAAGGTGCCAGGCTGGTACCAGAAATCAGATCAGTATTGGTGATATGCCTCCTTAAAAATTGACTATCAGCCCCAAAATCTCTATTGGTGCACCCCTAATATAAATGAAGGGAGGACAGTTTTTGCTTCTGAAATCGAACTATTTTCTCTTCAGAGCCCCAAGAAGTCTGACAACAAACAAATGAACAGACATTCACTTTTGATTCTGAAAATGCAGCCACATGCAGTGGTCCAGGCCGGAAGCCAAAGAGCAGTAGAGCACGCCTCCCTGCTGGGTTGGAGCAGACAGCTTGGGCTAAGGCTAGCCCACCCACCCTGTGAGGTGGGGTTTGTGGGGGAAGTGCAAAGCATCCTGGAATGCTGGAGGACTGCAAGTTAACTTGAATCTAGAGGGGAACTAGGACAGAAGTTCAGTAAACCAATTTAACCTAAGTTAGTTAAGTTTGATGCTAGATCCATCCAGGTTTATCTTAAACTGGTTTTGGCCATTTTGAAAGCAGTTTATGAGCACTGAACTTCTGCTGTGTTACAGATCTGAACTGGTTTCCAATCCTTATACTGGTTTATATGTAATTTCTGTCCCTAGCCTAGGAGTTGTGTCCTCAGACAGTGGTCAGGTCCTCTCAGGTTTGAGCCTAAAACTAACATACAATTCACTTGCTTAAGATCTTACAGCACATGATCATTTTGTAGTGCTGCAAACGCTTCTTGTGAGGCTGAGGAGGGTATGAATGAAATATGTGAAAGGACCTTCTGTCACTCCTGGATGCTTATGTAGAATAAATTGGCAATTGCTGATGATATCAATGGCATTTTTTGTGCTACTTCTGAAGTAAGCTTAAAAACCTAAACAAGAGGAAAAAGCAAAGAATATTTTAACATTTGAATAGTACTGTTTTCATGGGAAGTCAGAAAGAGAAGTACAGTGTATATACACTGCACCATTTTCCTTTGAGTAAAAGATAAATATGTTTAATGCAAGGGTTGATGAAGAGGGAGCAGATGAAAGCATCATGAAGAGAGAGCTTTTTTCTGTACTTGAAGGACCTCATTTGAAGTTAATGGAAAGACTCCCTTGCTTCAGTTGAGCTTCTCTTCATTATCTTAATATAGAGATTGGCAGCCTTTTGCCACTGCGGACTGCTGTTTGTTACCCAGCCCCTGCTGCAGGCT